CCCCCCCCCCCCCCCTCCCCCGGAGCACCCTTGGGAGATTATGGAACCCTGGGTTGGGGAGGGGGAGGGGGGGGAGGAGGAGGAGATGAGGGGAGACGAGAAGAGACGAGAGGAGACAAGAGGAGACAAGAGACATGGAGATAACTGCTGAAAGGATGGGTTTTCAAAAAGAGGAGGTAATTGAGAAATGTACCTGTTGCCAGAACTTTTGGAATGCAGATAAGCGTGCATGACGCAGGAGGCGCTCCAGATGATCGTTGAGTATTAATCTCTCCGTATCTCCTCCTGGCGGGTCATTAAACGCCACTTCTTCTGCACGAGCGACGAGCCTGATGCGCAAGAAAGAACATACCTCTCTGCTCAATGATGGGTCAAACGCACCCACACTCTCTACCCACACTCTCTACAGTTTGAATAGTCGTCATCCTGTGATAAGGCCATGGGTAGGAGGATGGTTCCCACCCAGATTTAGACGGACGTCTGGCCAGACTGAGGTTCGCACAGATCCCAACGTCTGGACTGATTCCGGACAAGGGGTGGCCCCCGCCCTTCCCTGAAAACATATGTTCGTTTTCTTACCTTTTTCCTTGGATCTGGCTACGAATTTTGATATGACCCTCAAGGGCCTCAACCAAAAGTTATTTGTATTGCTATGCTACATAACCTTATATTAATGATTATATCATATCTTTTTTCCCTGATTTTTTTAATTATTATTTATTGTCGGAATGTTCTGAAATTAATATATTCTTAAATTATTCGGACAGCATCCCAGGATTTCAAACCTTGACATCCGGACGCGAACATCTCGGCAGTGCCGATGGTCTTTGTGGGCCTCCGGAAAGAAGTCATGGATAAGATAAAATTAAAAATTAAAAATGTTTAATATTTCCCAGCAAAAACCAGAAAAGGCACGGGACATAAGTGAAAAAACTTCAAGCAGGGAGTGCTGGGCCAGGGGAAGGTAGCCATAGTGGAGGGCCCAAGACTCCAGCTCCAGTGGAACCGCCGTCTGCGAGCACGGCCGACCCTCCTTCTCACAGGACAATACTGTAGAGCCAGGGAGAAGGAGGGTTTAGAGTTTAAGAGGTGGAGGGTATGAGCAGGATAGGATAGCAGGTGCAGAGTCTTTAGAAATGAATCAGGCGGCTTGGTTCAACTTGTCTTCCTCCTCTTCTTAGCGCACGCATTGCGCACCGCGCGCACGCATTGCGCACCGCGCGCACTGCAGCGCACAGCGCAACCAAGCGCACCACACTGTAAAAATTAGGTCCAAAAAAAAAAAAAAAAGTAGGGGTTTTGTCATTCCTTAGGGTCCCCAACTCAGGCCTTGTAATAACGCAGCACGAGCCTTGAAAAAAAAGTAAAGTATTGTGAAAAGGTATCTCGCCAGGGYCCAGAAACGTGAAAGCAGGTCAAAGGTCAAGTTCTCTATCAACAGGCATATCTAAAGCTAAGGCAAAAGGGCATTGTCAAAAGACTTACCTGTTCACCAGAAGATGTGTATGTCATGTCTGTTTGGGTAAGAGTGTGTCTGTACGTGCAGGCAGTGTACCTGTTCGTGCAGGCAGTGTACCTGTTCGTGCAAAGTAAAGTGTCTGTTCAAGCAGTAAATGTGTCTGTTCGTTGAAAGTTGTGCCTGTCCGAAAGTAAAG